ACTGGTCACATTAGCTGGTGTGCACATGAAATCAAGTCTCCCACCATTGTCTATCTCCTTATTATAGAACCATTGGTGTCAGAAGGCTTCCTTTTTCCCAGGGTTGTGTCTTCCTAGGTCCTAGCTCTGCCTTTTATACTGAGCAAGCTAGAGGTTCTGTTATTTGATAAAATCACAGAGCCACTTTAGTATTTTTTTCCTCACTAATCGACCACAGTTTTCAACTCACCAGACTCTCTTCTTTGTCTTGGTTTACAGGCTTAGTGGAAAGTTCTATTCTGAAGGAAGCAAGTAGAATTTTAGGCTGGGAAAGATTCTATTAAGAGGCAAAATGAAAATATTTATGCCTTTTCCCATATTCCCAGGAGATAACTCAGGCTATATGGCCCCCTCCATTTTCTATTCCCACACAAGGGATGGAACCCACCATATTAATTCCTTTCCCTTAGGACAGAATGTAGCTTGAGGGTTTTAGTAGCCTGTGATTATCGGATCCCTGGGAGTTTCAGTGTAAAACAAATCAGACACAGTCAGTTTAGTCACAATTCTCAAAAGACTAAGAATGTTCCTGTATTTTCACTGTTCTTTAATTAGTTTATTTGTATAAACTTGCACCAATACTATACAAACACAATTAAAATTTTCTATATGCTTGATATTGGAGAGTAAGTCCTGCAATTTTTTTCTTCAAAATTTTCTTAGCCATTCTAAGCACTTTGCATTGCCATGAAAGTTTTGTAAGCAGTTTCTCAATTTGCAAACAGACACAGACATGCACATACTTAGGGTTTTTATCTGACTGATGTATATATTGAATCTTTATATCAATGTGGAAATATTTGACATGTTTATAATATTGTGTATTCTTATTATAAATATTTTAAATATGCCATGTCCCCTCATTAATGTAGCTTCTTAATTTTCTTAATAATGTATTAAAGTGTCCATGTGTTTCATGTGTACTTAAAACATACAAATGCCTTTTTTTTTAAGATAATATATTATTATCCTATAGCTACTATGAAAAATTGCCACAAATGTCATGGATTAAAACAACATAGATGTATTATCATACAGGTCTGTAGTTCAGAAGTCCAGCATGGATCCCACTGGTCTAAAAGCAAGGTGTTGAGAAGACTGCATGCCTTTTGGGAAGAAAATTTTTTCCTTGCTTTTTCTATCCTCTAGAAGCTCCTTTCCTTCATCTTCAAAGCCAGCAATGTTACTTCTGCCCTTCTACCATGGTCATATTTTCCTTTGACTGCCCTATTGTGATTTCCTTTCTCTCTTTTAAGAACTCTGAGTGCATTTGAGCCATGTGGAAAATCAGGATAATCTCCCTATTTTAAGGTCTATTGATTAGTTTCATCTGAATTTTAGATGAAACTAAATTCCATTTTGCCACATAACTCAACATAATCACAGGTTCTGGGGTTTAGGAAGAGGATAATTTCTGGAGGGGCATTATTCTATCTACTATACATTTTCTTAGTTTGTAAATTATGTTTGTCGAATTTACTACTCTTGATTAATTTTAATTTGCTAGATATATTAGCAATAATACATGCATTGAAATGTCTCATTTTGTTTTGTCATTTTCCCTTTGCTTCTTAGTGTTTCACATATTGGGGTTCATTGTTGTATGGATACACATTACCTGGCTTAATGTATCCTGTTGGTTTGCAGGATCATTTTGCATGGGAAACTCTCTCTGACTTTTCTTTCTTCCTTACTTTTTTGCTATGCTCATCCTTCCAGTTACCTCAACCTATTCTCCTGGAGAACTCTGTCCTAAACCAAAGCTTAATGTATTGGTTTGGGATCCTGTTCCAGTAATGAGTTCATGGATATGAAATATCTAATTTCTGAGACAAAGGAAGATTGTTTCAGTTCCCAAAGGCAAAATGGGTCTATACCTCTCACATCTCTAGGCCAGCCACTCTCTGCAAACTTTAATTCTGGAAAGTGCTTTCATAGCGTGTGTGTGTTTAGTTTCATCAGAAACCCTATCACCCATTCCTGGCTTCAAGTAGTGACATCAGTGTGGGTTGTATGTATGAAAGAACTGTTACAATCTCTTTCAGAAGCTAAACTTCTTACTAGGATACCAATTTCTTTTTCTAGATATGAATCCCAGAAAATCTATGGATTTGTGGACACTTGACCCATAATCCTTGTTTTATTTTCCTTTCCTGATCTACAAAGATGCCATTAGTATTTCAAGGATAGACCAAACCCAGAGAAAGTGTCATCTGCAAGCAGTATCCGGCAAAAGTATGAATGGGATGGGAGATCCACTGTGATCTACCTGCCAAGATGTCCTGGCCTATTGGCTCAGGGAATCTGACTCATGGCAGTGTTTTCAGCTTTGGCCAGGATCTGCAGGCAGGACAGCCTTTCCACGCTATTTCAGCATCTTTTTTTTTTTTTTTTTATTTCAGAATATTATGTGGGTACAAATGCTTTGGTTACACAAATTGCCAATAACAACAGGAACTTTAGAAACCGCACAAATACATGGAAATTAAACATGCTCCTGAACAACCATTAAGTCAATGAAGAAATTAAGAATAAAATCACAACATTTCTTGAAAAAATGAAAATGGAAACACAACATACCAAAACCTATAGGATACAATAAAAACAGTGTTAAGATGAAAATTTATAGAAATAAATGCCTACATCAAAAAAGTAGAATGAGACCAGGCGCAGTGGCTCATGCCCATAATTCCACCACTCCTGAAGGCGGAGGTGGGAGGATCACTTGAGCTCAGGAGTTCAAGATCAGCCTGAGCAAGAGCGAGACACCATCTCTACTTAAAAATAGAAAAATTAGCTGAGCATGGTGGTACATGCCTGTAGTCCCAGCTACTCAGGAGGCTGAGGCAGGAGGATCACTTGAGGCAAGGAGTTTGAGGTTGCTCTGAGCTAGGCTGACATCATGGCACTCGCCTGGGCAACAGAGTGAGACTCTGTCTCAGAAAAAAAAAAGTAAAATGATTTCAAATAAATAACCTAATTATGTTTCTCAAAGAACTCAAAAAGAAGGAAAAAACCAAACCCAAAATTAGTAAAAAAAAAAAAAAAGACATAATAAAGATCAGCATAAAATTAAATGAAATAGAGAATAAAAATAAAAAATGAAAAGGATCAACAAAACAAAAAGTTGGTTTTGTAAAAAAGATAAAATTGATAAACTGCTAGCTAGACTAATCAAAAAAAAGAGAAGATCTCAAAAAATAAAATCATAAACAAAAAAAGGAGACATTATAGGTGACACTACAGAAATATAAAGGAACATTAGAGAATATTATGAACTACTCTAAACCATCAAATTTGATAACATAGTGGAAATAGATAAATTTTAAGACAGATATAAACTAATGAGATTGAACCGAGAAGAAATAAAAACCTTAATAGACCAATAATAGTAATGAGATAGAATCAGCAATAAAAAGTCTTCCAACAAAGAAAAAAACCCAAAGCTGGATGGCTTTACTGCTGAATACAACCATTTTGATGAACAAATGCCAATTCTTCTCAAATTATTCCAAAAAACTAAACGTTTCCTAAGGTCTCTGTATTTCCTGTATAATCTTCACGTCCTGCTTGAAGAGGAATCTAATGAGATATCTCTACCTTTGGGTTCATGGATTTTTAACATTTTCCCCTTTGAGAAAAGGAGTGAAGTAAGAGGAAATGTGGTTAGAGTGTGATGGGAGAAACAGATTAAACATCAATCTGAGTAAACTTTAGGAAGAAAATAGAGAAGATATGAAAAAGTACTGGTTAAAATTTGTAAGAGGGGTTTACATAATTATTACTAATGCCAGAAAATATTTGAATTACATTAAGTGACATAGAAATTTTCTCCACATCCAGAACAATAGAACAGAAACGTGACATCATCAAGATTTTAATTCAATTAAAATTATATTTATAGCTATATATATTGGTATCTAACTATTAGTCCTTATATACACCATTATCTAATAGATTTGGGACAATAAGGAATAAAATAGAAAAGTTCCCCACCTGACTTCTTGAACCTTAGAGTTGGGGGCGCTTTGTGTGGGGTGGGGAATGGGGTTACTGATGCTAGCATTAAGCAATGACGGGCTGTCCACTGCAGTTCTCCCCATCGCCTTCTCCTCATGCATTTTCATTTTCTCACTGAATCCTCTCTGGGCGTGTTCCTAGTTCCAGTGAGGAATTACTGAGGTGTCCTACTGAGGAAAGGCTTAAAAGGGAGCTGTAGAGTGCAGCCCAGCTTTCTGGACTAGTTCTACATAGTGACTAGCAGAGAAAAGAGAGTAAGGCCTGGCCCTGCTCAGAGAGGAAATAAACACTTCGGAGAAGACAACAGGGGGAAGTTGGAAAGTTCTTTGAAACTTAAGACTTTAACTGCTGTCAGTGTAATAACGTAGTATTTTTGTATGACTCTCCAGATAAATTTCCAGCATCCTGTCCTCTCTGGGTTTGGGAGCCTTAATGGTATGTCAGTTGCCCTGCTCTGCAACTTTTCTGTTCACTTGTCCTGTAAGATTTCCAAGTCCAGACCAGGAACCTACTGCAGTTCTCTAAAAATCACTAACATTGCTCATTCTTCTCCTTGGGCCATATATCTGCCACCCAGAAGCAGAACTCAGCTGTGAGATCAGGAACAAGCATAGCATTTTGGAAGAATTTCCACAAAGGGAACCTTTCCTAGCTTTTAATACTTGGTTGGGTTAATATGAAACTATGTCAGAAGAAGTGGTGTGATAACAAGATCGTGAGACTTATGAGAAAAAGGAGTTAAAGCAGGGGTGCCCCTTTATTTTACCACCTCTCTTCCAGTGAAAGGCACAGCGGCATAGCAGATGACTCCCTCGGAGGGTGGGACACGAGGCCCTGCACTGAGGCATCCGGTTGGTCCAGAGTTTATCTTCCTCTTTCTCACCCTCCGCCCAGAAGAACTTAACTTTCGTTTCTTGCAGCTTCTCTGGGGTGAACTCCTTTGTGCATAACAGGCTACTGGATTGGTGCCTGAATCCTGACCACCCCTGGCCTGGCCCACCTTCACTCTTCCCGGAATCTCTACTTCCTTTTTGGTGTCTGAAGGTGTATTGACTGATTTGTGGAGGGCAGAAGACTTTGGAACAAAAAACTGAATTTGCTTGGGTGAGTTTAACTGATCACGGGGAAAGCTGTTCTGAAGCGGGAAAAGGCCCCGGCTTGCAGACTTCCTGCCGTCAGTGCTGACTCATGGGCAGTCTGGGGAGGGGCAGCTTTGAAAGAAGGGAGTTTGAAGAAGTGAATGGGCTTGTTTCCTGGAAGGACAGTTACTTTTCCAGGCTGGGTTTCTCCACAGCCCCTTTCTATTCTGTAAATTTCAACTGCCCTTTGCTGAAGAGAACCAGAAGCCTCTATTCCAGAAGCAGACAGTCCCTTCCCCCAACGACAGGGGCAAAGCCAGAAAAATCTTGAATCATAACAGTTTAATGCCTGTCAGTGTAATAATTTCGCATTTCTGCATGACTCTTCAGGTCAGTTTCCATCAACCTGGCCTGTGTGCGTGACATCAGCCTTGATGGTGTGACAGCTGACCAGCTTTGCAGCCTGTCATCTGGTCACTCCTGCTAGAGCCCCAACTCCAGACTCCGGGAACTACTGCATTTCCTTAAAATTCACTAACCTTGCTCGCTCCTCCCTCTCCCTGGGCTGCATCTGCCACCCAGAAGCAGAGCTCAGCCAAAAGATCGAGAGAAAAAGGAGCACTTGGGAAGAATTTCCAGAAGTGTCACCTTTTCTAACTTTTAATTAAAGAGTCTCTTGACTGATATTAATGATATGAAAAAATGTCAGAAGAGGTGGCATGATAACAAGATCCTGAAGCCCATGAGAGAAGAGAGTTCAACAGGGCCCTCTGTTGAACCCCCATCCCTTTCCCGTGGTGTAAGGTACAGCTTCAGCTTTGCTCAGGCTAATTCAGACATACAGAAGAGTCCAGCCAAAGCTCTTTTCTCTCACCCTTACTTCCTCTCATCTGACTAAATCTTACTGCATCAAGGTTGTTTTGGGGGATTTTCACCTCTGCATCATATTTCTTGTCCCCCCTTCTGATAATAAGTCAGTGTTTGGCGCCTGTCTTCTAACGTATGCAGTATACCTCTATCATGCCATATGTCACAGGATTTTAAAATTGATTCATTAATTTTTGCTTCGGTTTTTAATTCTGCTGGTATTACAGGAAATATACATTAAATGGTTATGACATTGTGGAATGTATTTGGTCTTATTTCCTGTTTCCTGGCATACAACTCGTAAAATCTTTGAAATCTTCCAAGAGACAATCTTTTTGTATGCTAATACATCGGCTGATGGCTGGCAGCCCCTAGGTAGCTTCAGGATGGGGGCTGGTCTGCAGAAATACTACAGGATTTGAGGCTTGGAAATTTCACCCCACCCCCCAACCTTCTGGGAGGGGAGATGGGCTGAAGGTTAAATTGCATCATTAGCCAGTGATTTAATCACGCCTATGTAATGAAGCCTTCATACAACCCTGAAAGGACAGGGTTCGGGGAGCTTCTGGATAGCTGAGCATTTGAAGATTTCTTGAGTGTAGTGCACCTGGAGTGGGCATGGGAACTCTGTGCCCTTCCCTCATGCCTTGCCCTGTGCATTTCTTCTTTTGAATTCTTTGTAATATATCAGAAAATGTAAGGAGGAGAACCCCGATTTATAACCAGTAGGTCAGAAGCACAGGTAAAACGTCCCAGCAGAAATTGGGGCAGTCTGTGGGACTGAGCTCTTAAGTATGGGATACACACTATCTCCAGGTATATAGTGTCAGAATTGAATTAGAAGACACCCAACTGGTGTCTGCTGCTGAACTTCCTTGGTGTGCAGAAGTCTTCTGTGTTAATTGGTTACAGAGAGTATAGACAATACTGAGTTCGTTTGTTTCCTGCATAATGGTATTAGATATTATAATACTTAGCAAATGAAACACAGTACAATTTCATTTTCCCAGCCTATTTAGGAAAAGTGATCCTTTCTCATATGACATCAGTAATTCGCAGCTTCATCATACTCATGGAAACAGTTTTACCCAAATCACAGTAGAAAACAATTCTGTCTATATCCTTATTGCTTGGAGTTTTACAATACCTAGTTATTGTCTTTAATGTCTTTAGCTCTGGGACATTCTCATGATCTCAGATGTCAGGAGAAGTCCCATGTGTAGGGTGCAATCACCTGACACCTATGGCAGCCAGCTGAAGTGGGGGATACCAGACAGATAACAGTCATGTTCCCATCTCTACTTCCCTGACTTTTCTGGGGCCTTTGAGTCACAGGTGGTGGTGGGATTATCCCCTTGTGTGGGGACTCTGGCTCCTCTGCATGGTCCTCTTTCGGTGTCTGTTAATGGCATCAGCTGCTTTGACATCAGCCCCTTTGTAGCCCCACTATGAATATAAATTTCACAGCCTCATGGCAAAATTCAATGTCTGCTCCTCCCTCCTCTATAGGCCCTTGAGGCTTCTTAGCACTGATTGGATTTTTAATGGAATAAGAGATAACTGGAGTTCCCACCCCTATGTTTGGCTCACAACTTGAGTCATAAGCAGGGGTAGACATCATCATATGATGTAAGCCCCTGATTTGGCATTCTTCAGAGCCTGAGTGCCAAGTCACAGTCTCTGCAGCCAAACAAAATATGGCCTTGGCCAATTTTCAGTATCTGTACCCTTGGCTGAATCATTCCTTGTTATTTATCAAGTTCCTGTCATAGATGATGGGAGGGGTGGACAGTTTTTGTAGATCTAAATTTATCTCCCTATAGCCTTCATAACTGTTTCTTTCCTTTTTCAGAGCAAGGGAAAGACTTACCAGCTGTCTCATAGTGGAGATTTTTTTTCGCACCATCAAACCTTGGCAACCATCCACACATCAGTATCTATCAGGGTCTTCTCTTTCTTTGTGTTTTGCCTCATAGCCCCATTTGCCTGAAGCTCCTGACAGAACCCCTGAGCCTAGACTAAGGCCATGGGGCCATTAATGAACCCAGGTCTGAAAGTCAGCATCACTGTAAGACCCCCTCTGCCTGAGCACTAGAAGTAGTTTACAATCTGGTTTGCCATTCCACTCATGGGAGTTAACAGACATAAACCATCCAGATCTGTGTGGTTTAGCCAGGGGATGCAGGGCAGGAGACAGAGCTGGCATAGCTACCTCAGATGGGTTCTCAGTGAGAGTTTTTACAGTGGTACAAGAGGTACATTATCCCCATCATCTCAGCTTTTTTAAGAAATCAGACTAGCTGGATGTGTGTGAAACTACCATAGCTTGGGCAAGCCTAGTGCTCCAAAGGACTAATCATGTTGTGAAAGCTCATGAACATAGCTTCCAGGGACCTAAAAGAGACATATTTGTTTATATCATGGAAAATGAGGTCTGTTTTTACCAACTGGAATTTAAAGTCTATATATAATCTCCCCAGTTTAAATGTACTTTACATGTCAGGCTATTTTTGCTACCAATAATGTGGACTAGCAAGACAACTAACATTCCACTTTATTGTAACCCAATAAGTTTCCCAGGGGAAAACAATACCAGGAGAAGGTAAGCAGATATCATCTTTATGGGAAGAAAGAGCCCAAACCTGATGTTAACCATTTGTTCCTACCTATCCAGTCTAATTCTCAACCCTGTCCCTTCTACTTCAATTTATCTCTTTCATCTGTACTTTGTTTTCTCCATTGCCTTGTCCTGCAAACTGTCATCATCTTTCCCCTGAGCAACTGTGCCGGCATCCTAACTGATCTTCCCTTTTTCACAGTGGATCCATCTCACCTTTCACAACCCCAGCGCAAAGCTAATGATAGCCTCACTTACCTCTGCTAATTGATGTGGATAATTGCCATTGATAATTGACGTTGATAATTTCTCCTTGCTCTTAGGAAAAAGTCCTTAAATTTATGTCTTTTGGGAAGTGTCAGATTTTCTGATCCCTGCAGGCCTATCAGCTCTGTACACACCAGCCAAACTGGCGATTTAAAACTCATGGAAGATGCTGCATATTCCATGAACAGGTTATTCGTATATGAAATATCTTCTACCTAATACATTTGTCGTCTTTCTCATCCCATATTTTCTTCATATTCTTCAGGCTTCAGTTAGAACCTTGTGTTTTCAAGTTGTAATTCTTGGATAACCCTCTGTTTTCTCCATTATTTGATTTCCAACAATGTGTACATGTCTCTAGTTGTGTTCATCATATCTGCTCTTTTGTGTGTGTGTGTATATATACATATGGCTGATTGTTTAATTTACTATGACTGTTCAGATGAATGTCAAGTTCATAGTGTTTTAAAACATCTGCTGATCTTTGTGTTTTGGATTTTGGTTCAATTGCTAGTATCCATCATCAATGATGATTTGTCAAATAATCTCGTCTAACATTTTGAGACTTCTCTCCCAAGACTGGCATCCATTTCATGTGTGTTTTTATTTTTTCAGTGTCTGACATGTGTGTACTATTAGTATATCTTTATCATCTCCCTCCTCATCATCCATCTATATGCATATACACTATACACCTTTAGGCTCCTATCAATGTCCTTTGCAAATTTCCAGGATAAGACTCTTCAGAAACTCCCAGCTGGTCTAGATTTCTCTGACTCCACACCACCATTGCTCTGGGGATGCATTTGGTCTATGTAGTTACCTCTGATTGTCTTTGATTGATTTTGTGGAGTAGCAGAAAGACGTCACAGATAAGAATGAAATTTGTCATGTGACATGAACTGAGAGTAAAGTGTTTGAAATTATTACTTAAAAAGCCCTTTTTACCAGGTCACCAAATTCCTTTCCTTGTTTCTCTCCTACTTTTTTTTTAATCCTTCGATATTTTGGTCTTGGCCTATTTTTTATTTCTGCACAACCAGTAACCTTTCTATTCCCACCTTTCTTACTCTGCCTGCTTTTAACTTTCCCAATCATGCAGGGATCTGTGAGCATAGAAACCTCAGCAGTGAAGACAAGAAGGATCAGGGAACAGCTGCTATGGCTTCAGGACTCCTGGTGAATTTAAAGGAGGAGGTGACCTGCCCCATCTGCCTGGACCTCTTGACAGAACCCCTGAGCCTAGACTGTGGCCACAGCTTCTGCCAAGCCTGCATCACTGCAAACCACAAGAAGTCCATAACAGACCAAGAAGGGGAGAGCAGCTGCCCTGTGTGCCGAATCACTTACCAGCTTGGCAACCTGCGGCCCAATCGTCATGTGGCCCACATAGTGGAGAGGCTCAAGGAGGTCATGTTGAACCCAGAGGAGAATCAGAAGATAGATCACTGTGCACGCCATGGAGAGAAACTCCTACTTTTCTGTAAGGAAGATGGGAAGGTCATTTGCTGGCTTTGTGAGCGGTGTCAGGAGCACCGTCATCATCACACGTTCCTCATAGAGGAGGTTGCCCAGCAGTACCAAGTAAGAGACCAGATGGTTGGAAGACAGGGCAGAAAATGGTACCTGATGGGAAATCTCCACTTTGCATTTTACTTTAATTACCTTGTCATCATAGACCTGAGGCCTGTGATTTTTTTTCCATCCTGTGCTTATCATCTGAGGCCTGAAGGACATTTTCATGCACTCCATATAATTGTAAGAGAATAAGCCTAGAGTACATACTCTTGGACAGAAATAAATATTTTTGTACCTTAAGCTAGGTGGGTAGAAATTTGGCGCCCAAGGAAAGCTCTGATTACTCTTTTCAGTAGGAGAGTAACTGGGGTAGATTGAGATATAAGTTTTTTCCTTGCTGTAGGATCAGATTTTTCTTCTAGGACAAAAAGAATCAGTCTACTCTTGGTGAGGGGATGGTGACTTAAATTATGTAAGACTTAAAGAACACATTCACCACCGTGGGTTTTCTTTCAAGTCATGGATTCTAACTGTGGTTCTCAGAGCGTCTGTAAACTCTAGTCTCTTCTGGGATCAATCTGATTTCTTCCTTGTTCATCTTCTATCCAAGTGCTGAAAAAGCTCATACCTTGACTCTGGTGTAACTTCTTTCTCACAGGAGACGCTCAAGGCAGCTCTGGAGAAGCAGATGAAGGAGCAACAGGAAGCTAAGAACTTGAAAGCTAACATTGAAAAACAGAGAACTTCCTGGAAGGCAGGAGAAGACACTTCCTGAGGGAATTAGCCAGAAACCTGGGCAGGACCTTGGGGAGAAACTCCCTCCCTCTTTGTTCCCTGACAATTGATAACTTCAGAAGCCATTTGATTAGTCCTCTTCTTCATCCTTTCCCATATGGGGGCTCAGGGGTAGAGAGTATGGCATGAATGAACATAGCTATTTGGAGGGAGCTACTTACATGGAGGGACTGTCTGGTGAGGATGGCTGGTGAATTCTGAGTGCCATTCTTGTGATGCTTTTTGAGTCTTTGTCTCTACTGGGGGAAGACTTTTGGCAGTGGCTCATGGTTTTGCCCTCAGTGTTCAAGGGTAGGGTGAGAAGTAATGCAGGCAGGCATGAGTGTCCTGGATAACTGTGTGAAAGCTAAGCCACACCCAGGTGTCCCATTTTGGCTCAGGGTGGGCGTCATCATACCAATTTAAGGTCATTGTTTTAGAATTTATGAAGGGATAATAATAGGACAAGTCAACTTCCCTAAGAATTTCTTCCCTGCTTCTATTTCCCTTCCCTGTGAGAACTTCCCAGAGGAAACAGTTCTATTTCTGGCTCACAGCGTCTTCTTGATAGACTGAATGCCTCTCTTTTCTTTCTCATCCATAAAGAATCAAATACAGTGTGACAGACAAAACATCCAGGTACAGTTTGACAAACTGAGAGATATCCTTCGCTCTGAGGAGAACAATGAACTGAAAAAGCTGAAGAAAGAGGAGGAAGATATTCTAAATAGTCTGGCAGAGTCTGAAAATGAGGTGGTCCAGCACAGCCTATTGGTGGGAGAGCTCATCTCAGATCTGGAGCGTCGGTTGCAGGGGCCAGCAATAGAGATGCTGCAGGTAAGACTTGAAGAGAAGCTTCAGTATCTGAGATTCAGGAAAAATAAAGACTGTTTCCTTCTCTATGTTGCTGTGCTGTCTCTTGTGCTGATGCTAAAGTTCTCTGGTCACTGCAGTACCCTTTTCCTAATTCAATTTCAGAGGTTATAGGAATAATTGAATGAATAAGTATCAAGGGAAAATCCTATTTTTATGAATTTATCAGGAGCAGTACAAAAATTTGACCTTGGAGAAAAGATCAATTGTATTAAGTGATATTTTCTAGGCCCCTGTTCTCTGTAATCCAGTGCTGAGCGTTTCTCAAACAGCTTTTCATTGCTCAACTTAGTCAAACACATGCACTTCAGAATACGAGATGTTTTTGTTTTTCCCCCTCATAGAATGTGTTGAGATGTTACCTCTCTTTCTTTATTTTTGGAAAAATAGTTGTAAAGTACTGGTATTATTTCTTCTTTAAGTGTTTAATAGAATTCACCAGTAAAGCTGTCTTATACTGTTTCTTACTTTTGGGAAAGGTATGAAATTTTTAATTTTTTACACGCATTGAGTTTATTTAGATTTTTTAATACTTATTGAGTCTCTTCTTGGTAATGGATGTGTCCATAGGAATTTGTTCATTTCATCTAAGTTGTCAAATCTGTAGGCCTAAAGTTAGTCATAAGACTTCTTTATAGTACCTTTAATTTTTATTTTTAATTTTAACTTCATTTATTTATTAAAATTGACAAAAATTGTATGTATTTATTGTTTACAACATGTGGTTTTGAATACATTGTGGAATGGCTACATCAAGCTAATTAACATATTCATTATCTCACAAAGTTTTCATTTTGTGGTGAGAACATTTAAAATCTACTCTCTGCAATTTCAAGGGTACAATACATTGCTAACTATAATTGCCAGGTTGTGCAATAGATCTCTTGAGGATATCCCTCCTATCTGTCTAAAGTTAGTATCCTTTGACCAGCATCTACCCCATTCCCCCCTGTACTCCAGCCCCTCGTAACCCCTCTTCTACTGTCTAGTTCTATTAGATCAACTTTTTTTTACATTCCACATACCTAAGTGAGATCATGCAGTATTTGTCTTTCTGTGCCTGGCTTATTTCACTTAACATAAGGTCCTCCAGGTTTATCCATGTTGTCATAAATGCTAGGATTTCCTTCTTTTTTAATAGTATTCAAAAGATTGAATAGCATTCACTTGCATATATTCATATGCCACATTTTCTTTAGCCATTCAACTGTCGATGGACACTTAGGTTGACTCGGTATCTTGGATAATGTTAAAAATGCTGCAATGAACGTGGGAGTCCAAATATCTCTTGCACATATTGATTCCATATCTTTTGAATGTGTACTCAGCCATGAGATTGCTGGATCATACGGTAGTTCTATTTTTAATTTTTTGAGGAACATCCATATCGTATTCCATAATGGCTATACTAATTTACATTCCCACCAACAGTGTGGAAGAGTTCCTTTTCTCCACATCCTCTCCAAACTTGTTGTGATTAGTTTTTTAAGTAACGGTCATTCTAACAGGTGTGAGGGGATATATCATTGTGGTTTTGATAAGCATTTCTCTGATGATTAGCGATTTTGAGCATTTTTTCATATACCTATTGACTATTTGTCTGCCTTCTTTCGAGAAATTTTGATTCAGTTCCTTTGCCCAATTTTTAGTTGGGATATTTGTTTTTCTGCTGTTGAGTTGTATGGATTCTTTATATATTTTGGATACTAACCCTTATCAGATATACAGTTTACAAATATTTTCCCCCAACCCACAGGCTGCCTTTTCGTTTTGTTGATTGTTTCCTTTGCTGTGCAGAAACTTTTTAATTTGATATAATCTCATTTGTCTGTCTTTGCTTTTGTTGCATATGCTTTTGGGTTCTTAGCCAAAACATCATTGCCTGCACCAATGTCTGCAGCTTTTTCCCTATGTTTTCCTATAGTAGTTTTACTGCTTCACATCTTACATTTAAGTATTTATTCCACTTTGAGTTGATTTTTGTATATGGTGTGAGATAATGATCTAATTTCATTCTTCTGCATGTGGATATTCAGTTGTGCAAAGACAATTTATTGAAGAGACTATCCTTTCCCCACTGTGTGTTCTTGACATCTTTGTCACAAATCATCTGACCATAAATGCGTGGATTTTTTTTTTCTGGCTTGCTCTACTGTTCCATTGGTCTATGTGCCTGTTTTTAATGCTGGTACCGTGATATTTGGATTAATATAGCTTCGTAGTAGATTCTGAAGTCAGATAGTATGATGCCTCCAGTGTTGTTCTTTTTTGCTGAAGATTGCTTTGGCGATTCAGGGTCCCATATACATTTTAGGTATGTATCGTGGTCCCATACAAATTTTGGGATTGTTTTATATATTTCTGTTAAAAATGTCAGAATTTTAATAGGAATTATGTTGAATCTATTGATCACTTTGGGTAGCATGGACATTTAACAATAATAATTCTTCCAAGCTATGAACACAGGTTATTTTTTTCATTTATATGTGTCTTCTTTAATTTCTTTCAGCAATGTTTTATAGTTTTCAGGGTACAGATCTTTCACCTCCTTGGTTAAATTTATTCCTAAATATTTTAATTTTTTGTAGCTATTGTAAATGGGGTTGTTTCTTCATTTCTGTTTAGATAATATGTTGTTAGTGCATAGAAATGCTATTGATGTTTATATTTTGATTTTATATTCTGCAACTTTCTAAATTTGTTAATTAGTCCTAAGAGTTTTTGGTAGAGTCTTTAGGGTTTTCTATATATGGGATCATGTTATCTGCAAACAGGGTTAATTTAACTTCTTGATATCGATTCAGATGCCTTTAATTTCTTTCACTTGCATAATTGGTCTGGCTACTACTTCCAGTTAAGTAGAAGTGGTAACAGTGAGCATTCTTGTCTTTTTCCTGGTCTTAGAGAAAAAGCTTTAAACTTCTTAGAAGTACATTTTGATGTTATGTTATGATGTTATGGCCTCAATTGTGTTGAGGTATATTCCTTGTATAGCTAATTTTTTGAGAGCTTTTTGTTTTATCATGAAAAGATACTGAATTTTGTTAAATGATTTTTCTCTATCTATTGAGATGATCATTTTTTTTCCCATCATTCTGCTAATGTAGTGCATCACATTTGTGGATTTGCTATGTTGAATCATTCTGTGTCCTTGGGATAAATCCCACTTTATCATGGTGAGTGATTCTTTTAATGTGCTGTTCAATTTGGTTTTCTAATATTTTATTGATAATTTTTGCATCTATGTTCATCAGAGATGTTGGCCTGTAAGTTTTTTCTAATTTAGCATTCTTGTCTAGCTTTGTTATCAAGGTAATGCTGACCTCATAAAATGAGTTTAGAAGTATTCCCTCTTCTTTAATTTTTTGAAAGTGTTTGAGAGGGAGCGATGTCTGTTCTTCTTTGGTAGAATTCAGCCATGAAACCCTCTAGTCCTGGGCTTTTCTTGGCTGGGAGACTTTCCATTACTGATTTTTTTTTTTTAATTTCAGCATACTATGGGAATACAAATGTTTAGGTTACGTATATTGCCCTTGCTCCACCAGAGTCAGAGCTTCAAGTGTGTCCATCCCCCAGATGGTGCGCACCGCACCCATTAGGTGTGTATATACCCATCCCCTTCTCCCTCGTCCCACCTGCCCGACACATGATGAATGTTATTACTTTATGTGCACTTAAGTGTTGATCAGTTAATACCAATTTGATGGTGATTAAATGTGGTGCTTGTTTTTCCAATCTTGGGATACTTCACTTAGTAGAATAGGTTCCAGTTCTATCTAGGATAATACAAGAGGTGCTATATCACCACTTTTTTGTGGTTGAGTAGAACTCCATGGTATACATATACCACATTTTATTAATCCACTCATGTATTGATGGGCACTTGGGTTGTTTCTACCTCTTGGCAATTGTGAATTTTACTGCTATAAACATTCAAGTGCAGATGTCTTTTTTATAGAATGTCTTTTGTTCTTTTGGGTAGATGCCTAGAGATACAAGTAGAACTACCGTTTGATCCATTACTGATTTAATTTCTTTACTCATTATTTGTCTGTTCAGGTTTTCTATTTCTTCATGATTTAGTCTTGGTAGGTAGTATGTGTCTAAGAATGTTTCTAGAACCTATTTCTTCTAGGTTATCTAATTTATTGTTGTATAATTTTTCATAGTAGTCTCTTATGATCCTTTGTGTTTCTGTGGTATCAGTTCTAATGTCTCCTCTTCTATTTCTGATTTTATTTGAGTCTTTTCTCTTATTCTTAGTCTAGCTAAAGATTTGTCAATTTTGCTTATCTTTTAAAAAAAACAGTTTTATTGATCTCTTCTGTTGTTTTCTAGTCTATTTTATTTATTTCTGTTCTGAGCTTTATTATTTCTTTCCTTCTGCTAACACTGGGTTCAGTTTCTTTTTGTTTTTCTAAATTCTTGAAGTGTATCATTAAGTTGTTTATTGGGTATCTTTCTTCTTTTTTGATGTTGACATTTATTTCTATAAAATTTTTTCTTAGAACTGCTTATGTTGCATCCCGTAAGTTTTGGTATGTTGTGCTTCCATTTTCATTTATCTCAAGATATTTTTAAATATCTTTTTAAATTTCTTCATTGACCCATTGGTTATTTAGGAGCATGTTGTTTAATTTCCATGTATTTGTGAATTTTCTGAAATTCCTCCTGTTATTGATTTCTACTTTCATATCATCGTGGTTAGAAAAGATACTTGATATGATTTCAGTTATAAATTTGTTAATGCTTGTTTTGTGACCTAACAGATGATGTCTCGTGGAGAATATTTGTGTGTACTTCAGATGAATGTTTACTTCACCGCTGTTGGATAGAATGTTCTGTATATGCCTGTTTGGTTCATTTGGTTTTTAATGTAGCTTAAGTCTGATGTGCTTATTTTCTGTCTGGATGATCTGTCCATTGCTGAAAGTGGAGGATTGAAGTCCCCTACTATTTTTGCA